AGGGGAGATAAATTCAGTTCCACCCTACATGTATGATAGAGCAGGGGGTGGAGCCAGACCCAAAAAATCCCCTTCTGGAGATAGCTTGAGCACAGCCGGTAGTGCAAACAGCACCAGCAGCATGGGCAGTGGATCCTACAACATTATTGGTAGTTCTGGAGTTGGAGGTGAGGGCAGGACTATGCCTTTGGCAAGAGAGGATGTTGGTCTGGCCGGAGCAGTACCATATCGGCACAACTCTACAGGAAGTGCCAGTGGGAGCTTGCAGCCAGATCTGGTTGCCATTCAGGTCAAAAAAAGTGTGAAGTCAAATGTATCAGATGACAGCAGAGATGGAAATGAACGAATGATGTTTCAATCTTGTCATGGTTCAGATAGGTGGTCTTCAGACAATGAGGTATTTCTAGATAATCTCAGCAGCTCAGAAGCTGAGAGTAACAGTATCTATGCTGTAGCTAGTCCCATTATAACAGACAAACAAAGACCTATTGCTAGAGTAATGGCAAATTCTCAGACAGAAAAACATGAACATGAAGTGAATACTGATGGCTATAAGCTTACCGGTAACACATATGCCTACAAAGGTAACATTAGCAGCAATAACACTGTTACCTCTTTAGGTATGGAAACAGGTGAACATATTTATGACTTGCCTCAGATCTTTTCTTCCCACAAGTCTTCCAAGCCTTCTGTCATGGTGAAGCCTGCAGTTGTGTTTGAAAATGAAGAACCGAATTTGCTGAAACCAGGCAGCAAGGCAAAGAAAAAGATACCCCCACCTCCTCCAAAACGCACTGATTCTATTCGTGGAGACTCTATTTCAAACAGTTTGCCAAATTCTCCGAGCAGAACCCCCACTGCACCAGTCACTATTACAATAGCGGCTTCTGTCCACCCACAACCAACAGTCCTCTCTACCACCAAGCAGCCGCCACCTGCAGTGACACAGAAACCCATGTCTCCAGCGGTCATGACTAAACTCCAACAACCGAACAGTCAGCATTATCATCAGCTTAACCCCATTGTTGTTCAGAAATCCGAGTCACCTAAGCCTGTCCAGTTACAGAAAGTTCTTGCTTTAACTTCCTCTAGTCATCCCTTACCTCATCCCCCTCCTCCAGAGCAGACAGCTCAACAGCAGAAGGTATTCCTCAAGCCTGTTGCAGCTGTCTCACAGCCACAAGTGCATCCAAAATCTCCTCTTCCTCAAAAGTCTTCCATTCCTCCAAGTGTAGGCAGTATTTTCCAGCAGCAGCAACAAAAGTCACACTATGAATTACCTGTCCATAACTCACAAGCAGAGGGGGAATTTCATTCACATAGTTCCAGTCCCCAGTCAAAGTCCCAAGCAGTGGTTTTGCCATCACAACATCCTTCACCACATCCTCAATCCAACTTGGCATCAGTACAGCCACAAGTTCAGGCTTTTGCCAGCTGCATGAAAAGCCTGTCAGAAAAGTTTGGGAAGAACACACAGGAGGATGATCAATTTCCAGACAATGTGTCCACAGATAGTGATGACTTTCCACCTCCACCGCCTCCTATTGCCATGGATATCCTAAAACCTAAAATACACAACTATGGGATTCCATCATCCAGAGATAGAGGAAAACCAGAGTATGGTTTACAACACCAGAGAGAGTACACACAGAAGTCTCAGTCGACTCCAAATGCTCCTAAGAGCTCAGGTCCAGTCACAGGACAACTAGCTACCACTCAGAAAAACCTTAGTTGGGCACCGGGACACCATGCTCAAGCTGGTGATGTCACAACCCCAGTGAAGACATTGCCTGATCATCTTGCAAGCATCAAACTGATGAAACAGCCACAGCTACTACCCTCATCTTATAACTCTCCTTCAGGCACTGATCATGAACGCACACCTGAGCCTGATTCTATGGCTACAATTAGGAAAGAGAGACACAGCGAGTCTACAACAAGTATTGAGTCTAGCATCTCATCGTGTAGTATAGATTCCAATACTCTTCCATTTGCTAATGAGAATGTAGGAACCATCAAACAGAGGGCAGTTAATGCTAAACCTTCAATAGTAAACTCTGTAAACGTGGAAGATGGACACAGAAGTTTGGACTTGAACCCCAACCTGTTTGGGAATGAATCTCATCAGATTGCCAGTGGCTACCAACATTCACTGTTACCACAAACTTCACTTTCTCATCACATGAGTACAGCTGCTGGATTGATATCATCATCAGGTAAGCTATTCTTATAACAGTTATATGTACCTCTTATGTGTTATCCCTTATATAACTGTCTTCATCTTCCATGTTTCTTCTCAAGAAGGCACTAGTTGCATTATTTCCATTGTAGTCATCATCATCATCTTCATCATCCACTAACACAGTGTTTCATTGGGTTTGCCGGTTTCTGTTGACTGTCTAATCAGTTCCCTCTACCTTTGTTGGTCAGATGCGATGGTCTTCATGATTGCATGCTTAAGGTCTATCCAGTCAGTCAAGTTCTGCTTTCAGGTCTTTCTTGGTCAAACTCTTCTTCTCTTTCCCTCTACTGCACCCTGCAGTATAATTTTTTAGAGGCTGTTAGATCTTAATACATGTCCATACCATGGCATTTTTGGCCTTTTCACTGTAGTTAAAAGAGGTTCATAGTTGCCAGCATGCTGGATAGTTATATCGCATCTATAATGAAGATGTTAATTTCATATATTTTGACTGAAGTTAGCACCACTGTTAAATCAGTGCTGCTGTCAGGAGTTAAAATTTGGAGACTGACTACAGTAATTACTAATAAACTACATACATTCATTAACTGGTGCCTGTAGAGAATAGACAAAAATTAAATGGTGTCACTAATATAAAGCTGTTGGAGAGAAATAAATTTCATTGAATTGAGTGGTGAAGAAAAAGGCACTGACACAGGATAGAACTTTCATGATAGTTGTGCAATTAGAATGTCCTTGCACTGGAACTCACAGGATCATAAGAATAAAGATTTGTCAGAAAACACATGGATGCAGTGAAAAAACTGGGAAGGACTTGGGATGAGGCGCATGCAGTGGCTTAGGATAGGATGACTTATCATAAATTGGTTGGGGGCCTATGCTCCGAAAGGGAATAAATGTAACATAGGTGGTTGACACAATGCTAGGTCACATTTTTCAGTATCACTTTGCCTTCCCTCTGGGGCTAGGCTGAGGCTTGCAGTCTTGTCTCTTTGGCTGCCACTTGTAGGTGCAATTGGACCTTAAACAGAATAGAGTACACACACAGAACACTGTACCTGTTACAATGGGACCAGCTACAGCATATATACTGTTACTATCCACTTCAGAGCTGCGCTGTTAGTTTGCTAATCCTGAGGTTAGCATTCAAGCTTAAAGTCATAAACCTCATTCATTTATTTTGTTGCATTTTGTTTCTTTTCTCAGTTTTTATTATTAGCTGTTTTATTAGCTTTTTATTAGGTTGCTTTTGTTTGTCTGGCTCAGTTGGTTACGCTCGATTTTTATACTTTTTCCCGTTAAGCTATAAAATTGAAATTTTTCATGCCATGTGGATGACAATGCAATGTGGTAAAAAAAAACTGCATTCCTGCTCCAGAACCTGAGTGTTGTGTGTGCATCAGTTTTACAGATCTCATTCTCTTGAATACAGACTGTTAGTTCCTTGCCTCTCCGGCAGATGCACTCCGACTTCAAAGGAAGCTCCCCAATTAGTCGACTCTTACGACATGCTTTTGGGGAGGCAGTGGGTCTATTCTTGTTTTCCCGACAATGGGGCCCCGGAACCCACACAGGGGATATTTAATGTCTAAATGTTTACAAAAATATTTATGAAGAGAAACAATCACTTTATCCAAGAAAAATAACCTACACAATTTTAAAATAAAATTCAGTTGATGTTTACGCTATTTTTTTATAGCAAATCGAGCATATTTTCTTAATTTTTAAACTTAGTTTTTAAACTTTTATGTTCACAGTGCATTGTATTCCAGCATCCTTTTCAGAAAATACTTTGTCTTCTTCATATTTTTCTCGCAATGATTTACAATTTGTAAACCTTTGATGTCGGCATAGCATTCTAACTATGACCCGGGACAGATTTTAAAGCCCTACCCTGGCTTTTTCACAATTATCCAGTCATCTCCTTGTGAGATGCAATTTTTCTCTATTTTGAAGCCCCACTCTGGCTCTTGCCAGGGGCCGCAATATAGTCCACCCATAAATATGGTCTAATGGCTGAACGCGGTTTCTGGGACCTCTCCACGGGTAATCCTCATCCACATGGTGGCACTTTGTGTCATCGGGTGTTTATCGCTTGTGTGATGTCCTAGTGAGGTATAAATCTACTACTACTACTACTGGCTTTTGCTGGGGGCCCTAAATATAGCCGGACCATAAATGTGGCCTTAAGGCTGAACAGGGTTTCTGGGAACTCTTCATGGGTGATCCTCTTCCGCATGAAGGCACCTTGTGTCACCAGGTGCTTGATGTATTTAAAGAATGTAGATTGCCTTCTTCAGGTGTGAGAAACCTGTTATCTTTTTGAGTTAATTCCTTATAGACATTGTTGGGTCAAAAAGTGCAGATATTGCACGTAGCTGGTTCCCCCCCCCCCCCCCCCCCTTACCCCAATAAGCATGTTGTAAAAGTCAACTAATTAGGGGTGTTTTCTTCGAAGTTGGAGTGCAGCTGACTGAGAGGTGAGAAACCAGTAGTCTGCAGACAAATAAGCCAAATATATAAAACAAATATGTATGCAAAACTCAAAATTCTGGAACAAGACTAAAGTCCATAAGTGGATGAAAAAGCAGAAATTTCCACCAGAGTTTACAGATGGTGAACACCACGAAGAAGCTAGCTGTAAACCACAACAAAACATCCAGCTGCCCTGTTCAGTGTAAACACAGAAGAAGCAGAAGAATTTAGAAGGAAAGAACATGACCATCTATGCGAGCCTGTACAGAATATGGTAATGGTATATGTTTTGCTGAAAGTTTCATCTTTCTTTGTTGACTAGATTCTGCTGGGCCACCACTGCCAGGTAAGAAGCCAGCTTTCAGTTCAAAACCATCAACAGAGCCATTATCATTACAGCTGACACAACCGCAAGATCCATTGCTGATGACAACTGGAACGTAAGTTTATTTCTTTTTTGTATTTTCTTCTTCATTCATCCTATTGTTTTAGACATAATTGTGTTGTGTCTTCTTACATCAGAGCTGCGACATTTCACAGAAATGTGTGTACTGGATTAACCTTTCTAGTATTTATTTAGTAAAACTGATTCTTTCTTGTTTGAATATTGTGCTTTGTGCCACTAGGCATCACAGGTTAATAGATGACCAGTATCTGAGCTAGGGCACATTTGGCTGCCTGATATGCTGTGATGTTGGGGAGTCTCAGGAGTCAGTGACTCATTTGGTCCATCTCATGGTGTCATTGACTCCTTCAGTCCATCTCATGGTGTCAGTGACTCCTTCAGTCCATCTCATGGTGTCAGTGACTCATTTGGTCCATCCCATGGTGTCAGTGACTCATTCGGTCCATCCCATGGTGTCAGTGACTCCTTCAGTCCATCCCATGGTGTCAGTGACTCCTTCAGGTCATCTTCTTCTAAGTCATCCCCTACCTCTTGATGTTTCTGCTTTCATGTTGTACACTCTGATGGCTGGCATCGTTGAATAAATTCTCATTGAGTGGTCAGGCCATTTGGGTCTTTGTTTTGAAATGCATTGTGAATGGCGTTGTTCCTGTAGTTCTTGTAATACCAGTAAATCACTTTATAGAACATCAAAGAATCAAATGTTTTGGTCATCTGGTCAGATGGAAACAAAAACAGCCAGCAGTTAGAGAATACTAAATGAGAACAGAGGCTACAAGGTAAGAGGCCGACCAGGAAAAACATGGGTGGAGGTAGTAAAAGACACTACAGAAATGTAGTTTGACATTAAGACAAGCTTCGCAGTTAGCAAAAGACATGAAATGACATCTAACTCCTTTGTGATGCTTGACAGCAGTAGCAGCAATGAAGAAGTTTCGGCTCTTTTTTAAATAACGGTCGCTAGCTGGATTGCGACGGCCGCTTAGTCGGAGTTCAATCCCCTGGCTGCAGTGCAATTACGGAGTGGAAAAGAGGGAACGAAACAAATAAGATAGTTACGTGTCAGGGTTTGGGGTAGGGTTAGGGTAAGACATCACGGAAACCACGCAAGCTTATCGCTCATTACGACATACAGATCCTCAGGTCTCACATCTACGGTCACTAAGTCGTGCGTCGGAAGAACGCGGTCGCTAATGTCAGTCGCAGCGCGTGGTCTAGCTTTAGCAGCCATGTCGACGTCAGTTTGTTTTTTCATTCGTGACTTGTCCACTCCGTAATTGCACTGCAGCCAGGGGAGTGAACTCAGCCTAAGCGGCCGTCGCCATCCAGCTAGCGACCATTATTTAAAGGAGAGCCGTTGCTATTCTTCTTATTTCTTAGATATTGGAGGAGACTAAGAAAAATGTTACATCTTTTTTTTCCTATTCTCCTTTTCTTTTTACATCTTTGTCCTTGCAAGGGCGGTTAGCAAGTTGTTTTATGGTTTACAGCAAGGCTGTTATATATGCGTCTTGGTGCCATACAACCAACAGTTTTGAGTTGAGTCAAGAATTGACATCATAGCACTTGGGGCGTTCCCATGTGTGCTCCGTCCTTATCTTCAGCAGCCAGCACAGAGTTCCAATACTGATGGTACCGGTCAAAATCTGGTTATATGTCCGTCTTTTGCCTTTCCTCTGAGTGTAGTAAGCCTCTGTTTACACCCAGCTGCCTCATTCTCTCCAAGCCTTAAAAATCTTGTTTCTCTACTGATTCCGTTGCTTGTTCACAAAGAGCCTTGACCACATCTGCCTTGTCATGTATCAATTCACCACCCAGTGGAGCAGATCCAGCCAATCTGTCTGCCCGTTTATTACCCACTAGGCGGGCATGACCTGGAGAGAAGATCCAAAGTATGCTCACTACCTGTGACCTTCCCAGTGAAGCTTGCCACTCTGCTCGAAGCATCCCTGTCTTCACCTTTCTCGGCATGCTTTCAGAGTCTGTTACAATTATGACATGTGTATTTGTCAAGAACCTAAATTTCTAGGGTTCGATTCTATTGACTACGCTGTAGGCTAACGGCTAACGACAGACAAAACACTGCTGACAAACATACCCAAGCCAAACACTGGTTGCAACACACACACAATCTTTATTATCAAAGAAACTAGCTAGTATGTGAAACACCTCAGGAGTGGTAGTGCTCCTTATTCTGAAACCAGCCTGCTTCTAACTTTAAAATCACTTAGACGTGCCTTTTCACGTTCATGAAATAAGCTCTGAGCCACTACCACACTCCCATACAGAGCCAACTCAACCCGATGTCTCCCGATGCCAAAGACGCTATGGCACACGCCACGTGTGGGCTAGAGGTGCGTCGTTAGGTGCTAACGCCACAAACAATGCATGGTCAAGCTTATCGTAAAGAGTTATAACTATTGGCAATGTCTAACTACTACCCTAAATCTAAGGCCGACTAAGATCTAAATGGAACGCGTAGTATCTACCCTGTCATGTATTAAATACATTTAATCACATCACACACAGTACACATTACAGCTAATAACTACGACGGTACATTTCTACAAGTCAATACGGTCTGTCAATGAAACTATCACTAATCTAACGGTCCGGTCACACGTCAAGTCAACACCACCAGTCCCCAGCCAAGAGAGTCCCGAACTGTGCTTTGCACAGCAGTTTTGCTACCCGTTGCAGTGCCCACGTAGAGGGCAGCCTACGTGAAATCCGCCGCTCTTGAACAAGCCACGCTGAGTTTTACCAAGCTTCGTTCAGTTCACTTAAGTTTCTACGTGTGCATACACGTACTGAGTTTAGCTAAGGGTCACAGGGTCTGTTGCTGGTATCATCATACTGAACTGTCCCATAACCGGGACGACCCCTGACAGTATGCATCTTGTTCTCTAGCCACCGGAGAACTGCAGTTACTGCCTCAACCTCCATTTTCATGCTAGATGTTGTGATATTGTATGCTAGGCTGTCGTACACTAAAGATTTTCTATTGGCTTTTACTACGAACCACCAGGCACCCCATCTCCTCTTTTCTCTTAACACTGAACCATCTGTATGGATAGTCAGATCACCTGGGTGTGAATTGTCATGAATCTACTGTTGGACTTCCACCTCCGTAGAACCTGCTGGCCGCTCTCTGCACTCCCGGCCCATTGTAATCATAACCCTACACAGGTCAGACTTTTCCTCTGGTATTCTGACCCACTCCTCCCCTCACCTAATGTTCTCCAGCATGCATGCATACTTGTCTTATTGTGTCTTCTGTTTGAGCCATCCACGATTTCACCCTTTTCAGCCTCTGACCCTTACCTGCAGCCAAAGCTTCATACAGAGGGTACCTTTAACCTATCTGTAGTTTTGATACTTAATGCTTGTTAACTCTTTCAGTCCCAGATTCACAGCAGAAACCCAAACTGGCACAATAACCACAGCATTAAAGTGTCGGTGTATCACTTCCAAACACACAACATACACTTGGCTGTATAATAAAATATTTAGTCATATTTCTTTAGCACAGACTAAAACACCCATTGTGTTGCAGTGACACACATGTATAATATAGCTAATGCTAATAACACGCCATGCGTTGGTTGGGCCAGAAAGAGTTAAGAGGCAGTAGATACTGTTTTTCCCCCTAAAAATGTCATAGAACCCACACTGAAGGAGAAGATGCCAGACAGTTATATATCATAAAAGTAAAGTAAGTAAAGATCCCTTTTAAACACCTTTAGTCGCATCAGGAATATAGGAAGAGCACCCATATTTTTACAGACCAATCGGCACTATGTGGGATAGTTGGTCAGCATTACGCCGGCCATCTTTACTTCCCCAGGACATACATCCTGGTACCCATTTTAGGCTATGACTATATATCATAGCACAGAGGGAAAACAGAATCAGTAATCGTAATGGTACATTTGACAGAAGGTTGCGTACAGACAAGAGGACCAAGGAACGGATTTAAAGAAGAAACAAATCTTCAGTTCTGATGTGATTCATCACAAGGTTTTTCTTGTGTGATTAGCATCATTAGTTGCCCAAAAAATATCTCACCTGTTCTTAACAGCTTTGGAGAGATAATCTGTCAAGATGTGATAGTTTTCATGCTAATTGGTTTTCATCAAAGATGAGTTTGAAACAGTGGTTGTGTTAATTAGGAAGGAGTAATAGTTTTTATTGTAACAAATTTTACTTGGCAAGTATTTCTCCCCAGTATGAGTTCTGGGGCCCCATTTGATGTTAGAAGAGAATAGACTCTTTTTTTCCAGTCTCTAGCCAGAATACCTTAAAGGGCGACTAATTAGAAGTTTTCTGAAATTGCATTTGTTGGACTGAAAGGCACAGATTTCACAGCCTAGCTGTAAACCCAGTATAACATGCCAACCGCCTTTTTAAGTCTTTCGACCCTGTAACACTAAAAGCAATGGGCCATGACCCATTAGGAATTTTGAAATTTTTAAAAACTGGTTTCGATTTTTTTCTGCAAGAAAAGTGTCACTTCTACAACTTTGAGAAGAGCTAGAAAACCATGGTACAGAAACTGCCAAAATTCTACTGAGGCTAGGAACAGGCTTGTGCCATTTTAGCGGCTTCGCATTTCAATTTTTTGGTGATGTTTACGATGCTGTAGTGGACCTTTCTTTGCTTACAAGCATTTTCCAACTGTAGACAGAGATTTCTGACATTGATCAGCTAAGTAAAGTAGAAGGGTGAACGCAGAAGAGAAAAAAAGTATTTCTTATTGTAATTATAATTGCTGAAAATTAATATTCAGCTTTTGAATTTTTAATTTGCCACTTTACATTGAATTTGTAGACTATAAATAAGACATAATTGACCGGAAATCTCTATGAAATTTTATGAGGTACTGTAGCAGCCGTTCTGAAGCTGTGGGTCACGATCCTTTCACAGAAGTCGCCTAAGACTAAAACACATATTTATTGAAGTTATGAAGTAGCAACAAAGATAATTTTATGTTTGGGGGTCAACACAACATGAGGAACTGTATTGAAGGGTCGCGGCGTTAAGAAGGTTGAGAACCACTACTGTAGGATCCCACAGAAAAAAAATTGTGTCCAAAAAGCAATAGCAAATACTGGACACAAATTGCCTAGAAAACCCAAAACAGCCAAAAAATGCTGTGTTTGGCTCTACAATGTCCTGTAAAGGATACACAACTAACTTTTTGTTTTATCAGACTATCAGTTTTAATATTTACCAATAATTTTTCACTGTTCCTTTTGCAGAAAACCAGAAGGAGGCAATGTTTTAAGTGACATTGATTTCATGCTGCAAGGTCTGACAGATGAACTAGATGCTATGTTGGAAAATGAAATTAGCTGACAAAGTTGACCAACTCTTCCAAATGTAAATTTTATGCAACATTATTTATGATAATTGGTATCTTATCTAACAGACATCTATTGCAGTAAAACAAACCAAATATTAGGACAGCTCGTCTACCTCTTGCGGTATAAGACAGTCCCATTCAGCACAAAGAAGCGTATCCTCCCCCTATGCTACCAGTGCCAGACGTGGTCATTTATACCAAACCAGAAAAGACAATTGCAAACCATGGAAATTAAATGTGTGATAAGGACTGCAGAAATTACCAGAAGGGACAAAATCATAAATGAGGTCATAAGATAAAATTTCAACACAGAACCAATTCTAAACTGCATTCAAAGACAGCAAATCAAATGATTTGCCCAAATAGAGAGAATGCCTTGGGACTCCATACCATACAAAGCACATACATAACCAAAAGAGAAGAACATAGGGCATGAGGTAGACCAAGAACAAGATGGAAAGATTACACCAGAGACACTCTGCAGGACAAAATGTCTAACAGCCAAAAGAACAAGAAGCAGAACTTTATATCTCCCTTGACACTCAACGTGGTAAAAGAGGAAGTCTCTTCTTCTTCTTCGATCCTTCTGTCAGAAAACTTAAATCAGGAAGCCGGTAGCCTTTATGAAAGTTTTTGTGCAGTCCAAATCTCCCTGTGTACCATATAGCTTTGTTTTCCTTGAGGTTGGAACAGGCCAGATAGCATCTCTGTTAGCAACATTTAGTTGACAGTGTTAAAGAGGAAGTGAACAAGATGTCTGATATGTCATGTTATTCATAAAACTGCTAAGAAATATGTTGTTTTTACTTTTTCTCTGCTGCACCATTTTCCCCACACTACAGCTGCAGTGCTGTCAGATTGTACTTAATGTTTTTGGTGTGTATATATATTTTATCTGTTGGGGGTCTCATAAAAATGCACTGCAAAAATGTAAATGGCTTTTGGCAGTCCATTACGGTGTCCTCAATTGGCAAAAATATCTTGCTCATCACAGTTTATGTTGCAAATTCTTGGCTCTTTGGTCAGCTGTGTTAGAAGATTGACGGTAACCAGAAGGGGCAAAGTTACAGCCAGACGACAAATCAAAGAGATTTGACCACAAGAAAACTGTATCAAAGTTAACTCTTTCAGTCCCAGGGGGTTTAGCATCAATGCCCAAGGGGTACGAAAGAGATGTAAAATTGGCACATTCTACGTTCACAGGCTTCTAGGTAGAAACCTGTGAATGCCTGGTGTGTTCCTTGGTACTGAAAGAGTTAATACTGATCAAAAAAAAAGAATTTGGTCATTTTGTACTGGCCTAAAACTCAAATCCACACCAAGAAAGATTTTTTTCCAACCTGACCTTGGCTCCTAGTTTAAGGTAACCTCTGGTTACCAGGAGGTGTCCTTGGAAATATTGGTGACTGGTGTAATGTTAACCACACCTATAGATAGTTGCGTATCCTTTACAGGACGTTGCAGAGCCAACCCCAACAGCCCCGGGCTGTTGTGTGAGTTTTCTAGGCAAATTTACGTCCTGTAGTTTGCCATTGCTTTCTGGACGGTCGGCTGCTTTGATACCACTGTCAAAACTAACGCAAGGCGCATGGCCCGCAGCTGGTATAGAACCCGGCATCCCGGCATTACGAAGCGTTTGCATCGACTTAGCCACTGAGCCGACATGTTAACCACACCATTAGCATGAAAAAGTCCTGCACTTTTATTTTCATTTTGTTTTTAAATACAACTGAAAATAATCTAGACAGAGGACTAAACAAACAGGATATTTAACGCTTTTAATTCGGCACATCCGTGTATTACATCCTGTAAATTCTGCTTAATTGACATTTTTGCAGTGTCCTGTCTCCGAGAGGCCCACTTAAAGGCTTAGGGTTTGTTTGCTCTTGTGCGATGTTTAGGAGGTCAGGATAAGATTATATTTACTGAAAATAGCATTGGGGGGGGGGGGGGGCGTAAGGGGGGAGGGGTGTTTAGGAAAAGGGGACTTTTTTAAAGCCACAATGAAATAATAAATTGCCCACAGCTTCAGTGTTAGATTATAGATAGGGATCACAGTATGAGTGACCCAATAGATTTTGCTGTTTTGCCAAGAGGAATGTAATCCAGTTAATGCTTTACTCCATTCTTGTTTATTGATTGCCCCCAGTCATTTTTTTTTTTAAGCCTAATTCTAAACAGCATATTAAAAAATGTATTTATTTTTAATTTTTTTGGCATTTTTTAATGGGAATGTTTATTTTTCAAGAGGGTTTCTGGGGCAAAAAGGGCTTGGGAACCTCATTGTCCATATCAACATAAAATATATCTTAGCTTCAGATTCAGCAATACATGATGTTGTCAGTTTAATTAAATTATGTGTAGGTACTTTATTGTATATAGGCACACTGTATCACAAATACATTATATTGTACATTTATATTTTTGAAAGTAAATTCCCTGCTCTACCTGGTCACACAGCTTTGTCTTAAATTATTAATTGGGGACCCTTTGAGGCTATTGAAGAAATTATAAGCACATTGTAGTATACTGATTTCCTTAGAATTCCGTGGACAGTCGAAAAGAGCACCCGAAACGTTTTGTAAGAGGCGAGGACTTGAAGACAGCTTATCACAAACATAAGAAAGTCGTCATTTTTTTGGTCATGCTATGAGAAGAAGGCAACTGGAACATGTTATGACCACTGGAAAGATCTGAGGGAAAAAAAAGACGTAGGAAGACAATGAGAACAGATTCTTGACAGCCTTTTGTAATGGCAGGGAATGGTGTCAGCACATGAACCGATATATGTTGTACAAGATCACAGATTGAGGAGAGGCATGATCACCCACACCAGTTGGCAACCAAATAGTTGATGGTGATTATACCGATTGTCACCGAATGACTGAGAAAACTGGTGAAAATTAATGGGATTTATGCAAGAAAAGCAGAGAAGAAAGATAAATATCTGGACAATTGTTTGCATCAACATTTATAAGGGGGAGGAAATTATAATATATTGAGTGCATCATGAGGAGAAACATTAAAGAATCACCAAAAATATAAAAATTTACAGAAAAAGTTAGTTTTCTGTCCTTTACTGGATGTTGCAGAACCAACCCAATTTTTTTTTTTTTGCTGTTGTCGTTTTTATAAGCAAATTTATATTCAGTAGTTTACCATTGAAACTACTGGACGTAAATTTGCCTAGAAAGACCACACAACAGCCAGGGGCTGTTGGGGTTGGTTCTGCAACGTCCTGTAAAGGATACGCAACAAACCAGTTTACCATTGAATATTCTAGATGGTTGTCTATCGATACCACTGTCTAAACCAACGCCAGATGGTCTGCTTCAAAATCTCCTGAAGTGCATTTGCAAAGCCTAATTAAGCCACAATGCCTACTCACTAAACAGGCAGTTAAAAGAGAAACTAATGGATTCATTTTTTTCCCTGCATCTATGAGGCCAATCGGTACATTATGACATATCTGTTGGTATGTTTTTAGCTTGTTTGTCTACAGTGTAAATGTTTTAGTGTACAAGCTCTGTTTTATCATTACGGTATGTTATTATGTTGTCTGATTTGTAAATACACTTGTGTCCATGAATGAACAGCTTTACCAACATTGTAAGTTGTCAGCAGGTATGTCTTTATTGTAAAAAAAAAAAAAAAAGACTTCCATACATGAATATTTAAAAAAGGTAAAGAACACCAATGTAGAATCAGGTGTGAGCTAAGAACACCAGTGTAGAATCAGGCGTGAGCTAAGAACACCAGTGTAGAATCAGGCGTGAGCTAAGAACACCAGTGCAGAATCAGGTGTGAGCTAAGAACACCAGTGTACAATCAGGCATGAGCTAAGAACACTGGTGTAGAATGAGGCGTGAGCTAAGAACACCAGTGCAGAATCAGGCGTGAGCTAAGAACACCAGTGCAGAATCAGGCATGAGCTAAGAACACCAGTGTAGAATCAGGCATGAGCTAAGAACACCAGTGTAGAATCAGGCATGAGCTAAGAACACCAGTGTAGAATCAGGCGTGAGCTAAGAACACCAGTGAAGAATCAGGCGTGAGCTAAGAACACCAGTGTAGAATCAGGCGTGAGCTGCTCATATTTTTAAAAAATCAGTCGGCACTCAGTGGATGATGGCTATCTATACTTCTCAGGACATTAGCTGGTGCCCAGATCAACCTGGTAGCCACAACCAGTGGATGGAGACAAAAAGTCTGCCACAATGCTGATTTGAACCCAAGACCTTCTGCCGTTATGAATGCCTAATTATAAATTGTTTGGAGGTTGAGGGGACATTTCTTCTTCTTTTTCTTCACGTTCACCAGCGTAAACTCTGGCAGAAAGTTATGGTTGCTCATCCACTTCTAGACTGCAGAAGTGTTCCAGAACCTGAGTGTTGCGTGTGCATCCGTTTTACAGATCTGAATCTTTTGTATGCAGACTGCTTGTTCCTTGCCTCTCAGGCAGATGCACCCAGACTTCAAAGGAAGCTCCTAATTAGTCAACTCTTACGACATGCTTTTGGGTAGGCAGTGGGTCTATTCTTGTTTTCCCTATAATAGGGCTCCGGAACCCACATGGAGAGAGAGGGCATTTGCGATTTGCCTTTTTGATCTTCGACCGAGTATGAGACTTTTGAAGTCTCCATCCATCAGTCAATCAGCGTGTTCTTTACAGAATGTCGCTGTCTTTACGGCACACCTGAAAGTCTCTCTTTCTTTAGCCCAGCCCTGTGTGCTTTCATAGCCAATGCATCTTCAATGTTCTGTATCCACCTTGATGGAGACCGGCCTCTGCCTCGTTTTTTTGGAAACTGCATCCTCCATCACCGTTCTCTCCAGACCAGCATGACTTGAAGTCTTAGTGTGAATGGGGGGAGAGGGGGACAGACAGAAACTCTTGTGCATGAAAACATTGACTATCAATGAAATGCATTTTTTTTAACTGATTGATTCTACACCTCAACCTACTGTGCCTACTTACTGCACAATAGTTTTG